ATTCCTCTGGTTTTCGGTCATTGGTGTTTAATGCATCAACTCTATTCTTTAAATGGTCTCTAAATTCAGGAGGGATATATTCAAGGTCGCATGTTGTCTCTCATGGCCTTGTTTTAATTGTCTTCAGCTTCAACTTGAACTTGCATATGACCAGTTAATGGTCTGTTCCACGATCAGCTCCTGGCCTTGTTTTGGCTGAAAATACTGAGCTTCTCCATGGCCTCTTTCCACAGATGTAGTCAATCTGATTCCTGTGTACTCTGTCTGGTCAAGTCTACATTTATAGCTGCCATTTATGTTGTTGGAAAAAGATACTTGCAATGAATAAGTTTTTGGTCTTTCAAAATTCTGTCATGCAATCTCTGATGTCATTTCTATCATCAAGGCCACATTTTCTAGTTACCAGTGATTCCTCTTTGTTTCCAACTTTTGCATACCCATCACCAGTAATAATCAACACATCTTGATTGCATGTTTGGTCAATTTCAGACCACAGAAGTTGGTAAAAGTCTTCCATTTCTTTGGCTTTGGATTTGGTGGTTGGTGTGTAAATTTGAATAATAGTAGTATTAACTAGTCTCCCTTGTAGGTATATGGATATTATCCTATCACTGACAGAATTCAGGACAGATCTTGAAACATTCTTTGTGATGATGAATGCCATGCCATTCCTCTTCAATTTGGCATTCCCATATTAGTAGATCATATGGTTTTCTGATTCAAAATGGCCAAAACCAGTCCCTTTCAGCTCACTAATGCCTAGGATATTGATGTTTATATTTTCCATTTCATTTTTGACAACTTCCAAGTTTTCTAGATTCATATTTTGTACATTCCATGTTCTGACTATTAATGGATGTTTCCTCTCACTTTGAGTCATGCCACATCAGCAAATGGAGGTCTTGAAAGCTTTACCCCATCCCTGTTACTAAGGTCAACTCTACTTTAAGGAGGCATCTCTTCCCCAGGCATATTTTGAGTGCCTTCTGGCCTGAGTGGCTCACCTTTGGGCACTACATTGGACAATGTTTCAGGGCTATTCATAATGTTTCCAGTAATATATCAGACAGTGTTTCACTGTTATTCATAAGGTTTTCACTGGCCAATTCTTTGCAAAGTGGATGGCCCCTTCCAAGTCCATCTTAGTCTGAAAGCTCCACTGAAACCTGTCCACCATGGGAGACCCTGCTGGTATTTTAAATACCTGTGGTATAGCCTCCAGCCTCACAGCAACACATCACAGTACAACAAACTGACAGACGAGTGGTGGGTTAGTGCAACTATGACTTTGTAATTGTCTTTATTTAGAGATTGTATATGGTTAGGTGTGCCTAACCCAAGCCCAAGACAATTTTCAATTGTCTCATTGCTAAAGGGCCAAGGAGGCCACATCTCCTTACCTCCTCTAAGCCCACAAGAGGAGGACAGAATCACCCATCAATAGCCCAAGGCCTATTCCTGTGAGGCCAAACATGCTGCCTCCCTCCAGCCCTTTCATCAGCCCTGACACCAACCGTTCCTCCCGCAGCACCCACCACCTTTCTGCTCAGTGTTTGATAATTCGCTGCAGTGACCACACAGAACTCATAGATTATATAGGGGTTTATTAGGGAAGCACCAGGCTACAACTCAAGTTCAGGAACAATGCTCAGTTTCTCTCAGCCTGCTGTCTCTCAGACAACAGTCTCTCTCAGTCTCTCTTCCAGCAGTGCGTGTCTCTTGTTGCCTCTCTCTTAGCAATGTCCTTCTCTCGGTGTCTCTTTCTCAGCAGCACATGGCTCTTAGGAATGCGTGTCTCTCAGTAGCACGTCTTTCTCAGCCAGCAATCAGAGATACTTCTTCTGCCTCTAAGAGGCCTCCTTTTGAGCCTGGCAGAGTGGCCAAACTAACCAATCATAACATCAGAATTCTAAGCCCTTGAGAGAGAGCGAACATCCCAGAACATTGCTTTGTGCCACTCTCAACAGAAATAACCCAGGTGGATAACTTGTAAAATCAGGAGCTCCTCAGTTGCTCACAGCAAATTCCACCATGGAATTTACAAAGACTTATGGCTAGAAAAGTCATACCAGGTAATTTACTACACTGCATTCATATGCATATGTGAGCTGGATAATGAATAAGGAAGACCGAAGGAGAGTTGATGCTATTGAATTGTGGTGTTGATGAAGAATACTGAAAGTACTATGGACTGCCGAAAGAACTAACAAATCTGTCCTGGAAGAAGTGTAGCCAGAATGTGTCTTGGAAGTGAGAATGGCTAGACTTCGTTTGACCTACTTTAGTCATGTTATCAGAAAGGACAACATGGATTCCCTGGAGAAGGATGTCATGCTTGGTAAAGTGGAGGGTAAATGAAAAAGGGGAAGGCTCTCAATGAGATGACTGACACAGCGGCTGCAACAATGGGTTCAGGTATAGCAAGGATCCTGAGGCTGGCACAGGACCGGGGAGTGTTTCGTTCTGTTGTACATAGGATCACTATGAGTTGAGCTGACTTGACAGCACCTAACCACAACAACAACATGTAGTTTAAGGTGATGTATACAGGTGCCAAGTTGACAAGGGGTGGATTGTGGTGGATAAGGTTGTGTGTCAACTGGCTGGGCCATGATTCTCACTGGTTTGGCAATTATTATGTAATTATCCCCTGTGATGAGATCTGATATAAGGTAATCACCTCCAGGATGAGATCTACTATGGGCAGCCAATCAGTTGAAAGGGAGTTTCCCAGGGGCATGGCCTACATCCAACATATATGGACATTTTGGCAAAGCGCTCTGGATATTTGCTCAATCTGGATCTGCAGCTGGCTCATCATCATGTCACCTCTCTTCTTTGGACTTGAGTTAGTAGCCTGTTGTATTGCCTGCTGATCTTGGGATTGTTGCCTTCACAGCCTTGAGCCAGCAGCCTGCCATCTCATCTACCAATCTTGGGTCTGTCAGCCCCTGCCACTTCCTGATTCAGGAGAAGCCTCCTAAAACCATGTGAGCCATTTCTTTGAGATAAATCTCCTCCCATTCCCCTCTCTATATTGAAGCTTCACTGGTTCTGGTTCTCTAGAGAATGCAGCTTGAGACAATTCGATGTCAATAACGGAAAAGCACATCTGGGAAACTCCCAAGTATTCAGGTCTTAAGACACATTTAAGTCACTCCTAGGTCCAGGGTGAAGGTACAAGGCAATTTAAAATATACTTTGAAGGAATTATAATGAAAACATGACATACCAAGATTTGTAGGATGCAACTAAAGGAGCACGTGAAGTGAAAGTTGGAGCCTGAAAGGCATGTATTAGAAAATTCCTAAACCAATGATCCAAATATTCGAAAGCTAGAAAAGTTACAGCAAATGAAGCCCACATAAGTAGGAAGAAAGAAAGGAAGATAAGAATAGAAATTGATGCAGTAGGGAACAGACAACAATGGGATCAATGGGACTGAGAGCTGGTTGTAAAGAAAACAGATAAACCCAGCGACACAGTAATCATGATAGAAAGGGCACACATCACCGTCGACAAGGAGAGGCAGTCCGCACATGGATTTTACTTACACAAGGCTTCAGTGGAGAACATGCTGAACACCTTTAGATGAAATCACCCATCTCAGATGCTCAGATCCAACGGCAAACCAAGGAGGAAGTCTGAGCAGCCCTACACATATTGAAGGAATGCAATCTGTCAGTAAAAACTCCCACGTAGAAAATTCCAGGCCCAGATGGCCTCACTGGTGAATTCCGTCCAACAACAAGGAAGAATTAATATTAATCCTACACAAACTGGGTCAGAAAACGGAGAAGAGGGAGACTTCCCGATGGTTGGTGCCTCATGGGATGGCGGAGGCCCAGTCTCTTCTTAGTTGGGACCCTTGGTGTTGAGTGAGTGAGCCCATAAAAGGACTGGCTTTTCTCCCACCGACCTCTGCTTCAGGACAGGCAGGGCTAACCTTCCCCCACCTGTGAAGTGTGAGCCTGAACCACTCAGGGTTCTGTTGTTTACCTGTGGGAAGCTGACTCTTCTGGTGAATGAGGACACATGTCCTAACCCTTAACACATGTACTTGTGTCTACTGAGGACAGTTCCACTCACCATGCAAAGAACATAGTTTGTGATTGTTTCTAGACAATCTATTAGACGGCAAAAAGGAAGCTAATTAAAGGACAGCTTTATGAAAAAGAAAAACCAGATGAGCCGATGCCCCGTCTATCGATCTCATGAGTCCTTCGGCAAGCACTCTGCAATCATGGTGCTGATGACTGACCAGCATGCTCCTCCCACCGCCCATTCTCCTGCGAGAAAAACAGAAGATTGACCTTCCAGTAGTGCCCACCCTGTATTTCCTGGTGGGAGGTGGCATGCGGGAGGCGGAGTCTAATGGCAAGAAGGAAGGAAGAAGTTGAGGCTCAAGGAAGACACCCCTAAAAGCATGCTTTGTGTTCTGGGATTAAGAAATGTTGATTTGAAGGTGAACAAAAACTTGCCCAATTTTGTCCCCTGGTTTTTTCCTCCAATGCTGGGCCTGTTTATTGGGGTCCCTTTCTCTGCAGTCCATTGATTGGAGCAGGGCTTGCCAAGCCGTCGCCTAGCAGCAGGATGCAGAAGCCTCATTCCCATCACAATGGACAGAAAGGGAAGAATGAGTGCGGTTTGTTTAAACTGCCCCTGTCCTCATTCACAGCCTGATGTCCATGCGCATTGTGGCACCCACAATGGCACTAAAGGGCTCATTGTGGCCGAAAACAAATCAAAATCGAATGGTGGATGCAGAGATAAAAGAGTCAAGCAACAAAATTGCTTAAAAACACCCCAGCTTCCATCAGAGATTTACGTTCCCTTGTGGCTGTGTGGCCTATTGACCGTGTTTATAACAACCACGAGAGTTTAACAAACAAAAAGATAAAGGGGGACTCGGAGCCCTTCTCCGGTACTGCCGCAGACCCCGCGCATCCCCGGCCGCTTGGGAAGCTGTTTACTCGTTATTGTTCCCCTGTTTGCACAACATGTGGGAGCCACACTCGCACTTGGCCTGTGTTTATCTGCCTGCCGATAAACATGCCCCAGCTCTGCCCAAGTGGCCCGACAGCATCCCCGCACAGGCGCCCCCAGCCCGGCCCGCGCGCCAGCCCACGGGAGCTGCGGCCAGCACCCAGGCCGACTCTGCAGACAACAGGTGGAAGGCTGAATAACTTCACACGTTCTGCGCGAGAGGGGGTGGGGAGGAAGAGCGAGAAAAAGGAGGGCGGGGGAAGGCTTTGGGGGGCCGATGGAAGGATTAGATCAGATGTTATTGCTAGTGAAAAATTAAACAGGCCGGGACTCTGGGGAGCACAGATTAGTATCTTCAGCGACTCCGCGCGCACAAAGGCCGCTCATTGTGTTGGTCGCAGCGCCTGGGAACGGGACGCGGCACATGCCGCCCGGCCCGCAGGTGCTCACATCTGTTCCCCCGGCAGATGCTCGCCGAAAGGGGCGCGGGGGCGGGGCGGGCTGCGCAGCCCGGCCTTCGCTCTGGTTGCCCCGGGCGGCCGGCCGCGGCGCGGACCCAGGAGAGGGACCCTAACTGCACGTGCCCGGGGACACTCGAGGAGGAGCGCCCCCCAAGGCCGCCCCGGACGCCGTTTTAGGCCTCGGAGGTGTTTTTGCGCTTGCTTTCTCCGGGGCCCTCCGGGCAGGCATCCTCCTCCCTCGCGCGCACCAGCTCCTGCCAGCTGCGCCCACAGTGGAAGGAGCCGGGCGGCGACTCGCTTGTTCCCTTCGCACGACAGCGACCGGGGCTCGGACTGTGCCCTGGGAACCGGCCGGCGGCGAGCGGGCAGTTCCGGCAGCCCGCGGCGGTCCGTCGTGGAGGGAGTCCACGACTCCTGGCTGCCTCCACGTCGCGGCTGGCCCCCCTCACGACGCCGTCTCCCCAGTGGAGGAGGGGCGGGGCGGCTCGGGCCCCGCGGAGGCTGCAGGCGGGCGCAGGGGCGCAGGTCTGGGTATTAGCCGGGGTGGTCTAGCATTGCCTGCACCTCGCTCCCGCCGCAGGGCTGAGTCGTCCCTGCGCTCCCCGCCACCAGGCACGCGGGCTGCACGGGGCTCTGCGGTGCCCCCCACCCCGGCTCCAAATGAGCTCCGTGGCTCCATCAGGCTCTCGGTTAGAAAACCCAGTTTCCGCCGAGATTGGGGCACGGATCTCCTTCCCCTTGCCGGTGCGGGGACGGTGGGTGCAGTCACCCCTCTTTGGGCCAAAGCGACTCGCGGGTCCAGCCCGCGCCTAGGGCGTGGCCTCTCGGCCCCATCCCATCGAGTCACCCCTGGGACCCCCTTCGCCCCGGCCCTTGCCCGGCTGCCCATGGTAGCCAGGGGAGGGAATGAGTGTCCCCGGCCCTGAAAAGCTCCTCCCTCCCTGGGGACTCGTCCCGCTGTTGGTTAGGAACCAGAGGCGCGTGAGGTCCCCGGGGGAATGCGGCGGGCGGCGGGAGACCACACGGTGTCCCCTCGTCCTGCACCCCACCCCCCAGTAGCCCCGAGGCGGGACCCGTGGCGCACCGCCGACTGGCGCTCAGGCCCTGCGGCGGTCCACCTGCCTCGCCCCCACGCCACCACCTCCAGGAAGCCCTCCACCTGCCTCGCCCTCACGCCACCACCTCCAGGAAGCCCTCCGGAGCGCCTCCAGGCTCGGGTCCCGGGCCCCGCCCCAGCACGCTGAAAACCAACCGGGCTGCGAAGGCGGCAATGGGCTGCACCTACGGGCCCCCGCCCCGCGCAGTCGGACCGGTGACTCGCGGAGGGGCCGCGGTCAGATTTGCACAGGAAAGGGCCGCGGAGCAGCTGGCCGCAGTAATCTGATCTGCAGACAAAGGCGGCCCGCGCGGCCCCGGGATCACAGGTAAACACACGCGCTTTGTCATGGAGATGAGGCTGCGGCGGCGCAGAAGCAGACGACCCGCGCTGGCGAGGGGCGCGGCGCCGCGCAGGAAGGAGAGGGGCGGAGGGCCGGGCTGCGGCGCATCCATCATCTGCGCCCCGGGCTGGCCAGCTGAGCCACGCGACCCGTCCTTTCTCATTCAAATAAGCACATGCCTATGCAACTTCCGCAGACCTGCGGCCGTGCGCCTGCGAGTCTCCACGCACAGGAGAAGGTTCGCCAAGCTCACTGGGCGCGCGGCACCACGTCCCGGACTCATCTCGCCCCTTCACCCCAACCCAAGCAAACCACCACGTGGGCTGGAGCATTCCTTTCCTCGTTGCGGCCTCCTGTCCTATTGAAAATGAGAAAGATTACGTTACACGCCGGCGACCCTGCCCACACGGGCCGTTGTCTAGCTCCCCGGGTGCCCAGTCGCCCAGCCTGTGGCCAGAGAAGCATCCGGCCCCGATACCAGTTTCTCCCGGCGCCTGCCTCCCTGCCTCCCGCTGCCATGCCACAAATGCGTCAGGCGCGACCGCATCGCTGGGGGTGCCCGCGGGCCACTGCTGCGGGACACTTGCGCACAGGCCCTGTCTCCCCTGTCTCCCGGGGGCCCAGGGACGGCGGCCGTGGATGGGCTGCGGGTTCCCACTTGATCCTCCTTTCCCACCGATTCCAGCGAAACGGAAGCTTCAAGAGTGTAAATATAGGGTAGAGCGGCCACCCGTGCTTTTTCCGGGTGTGGGTGAAGGGATCTCTGTTAGCAAGTGCTTTCGCCTAGAGACACCCGTGGATAACTGCAACCAACGGAACGCTTATCTGTAGTAGCCAGGGCCAGCTCGGGCTTGTTGAGGAAGCAGGCCAAGGTGGGAGGGGCGCGAAGGTCAAGAAGTCCCATGTTCTGGGTCTCTGGGGCTCCAGCCTCCAAAAATAACCGCAGAAGAGTCCATCACAGCTCCACAGGGCTAGAGCCATCTCCCCCGGGTAAATGTAGGAGCTCGGGGAGGCAGGCCGGCCCTTTCCGCTCCCTCTGAACTGCTTGGAGACTTCAGGACTGTGACTGATGACGGGCAGGCTAGGTTGTCTGGAAATGTGCTGCTAATACTAAACAGGCCTCTCGTTCTCTCTCTGTCTCTGTGTCTCTCTCTCACTTTCTCTCTGTCTCTCCGTGTGTGTCTCTCTCTCTCATAAGCTGGCATGTTTGACCAATTTGCCACCTGAAAGTTTTTTATTTTGCTGTTTCAAACAAGGCACCTGATTCTTTTGTGGGGATCAGAGAACCCCTCTGTTGGGTTGACAGTATTCAGTTGGCATGAGAAAACACCTAAACCCAGCGTGGCCTCCAGCCTTGTCTGCACAGAATGCCGAACCTGTGGCTGGCTCGGGGTCTGCAGCCTGTTTGGCATGGCATTGTTTACTGCGACCACCCGGACCCCCTCCCTAGCCTTGGCGCACACACCTACCTACAGAGTACCACCCGTCCCTGGACAGAGGGGGTCGGAACAGGGTCGAGTCCCAGCAGTGTGGGGTCAAGATGCCACTGAGGACGGGAAAATTCATTTTGACAGGATAAAGACTGGGAGCATGGCTTTTATTCCCAGGTGGCCTAATGAAATTGTGGGGAAGCTCCTGGGGCCACAGCACGAAGAGAAGCCCAGATGCCAGGGGGGGGGGGGGGGAAGACACAGGCCCGGTGATCACTCAGCCTGAGGCCGGCCCATGTGAGGTCACTCGGGCACCCAGAAACACCACTACTGGGCAGCATATCCCCCTGCGGTTCCTGCCGCTGACGTAGTGGGGGCCTTCTACACCCTAATGAGCCCCACTTTGTACAGCGCATTTGCTAAGACATCAAGACGTATTTCAAAGAAAGTGTCCTGCAGGTTAAGGATTTAGGGTGTGTGGGGAGGAGGGGCTCCGGCTACTGGGGCCAGCCTGGAGGAGAGGCCCTTTAACACACTCCAACTTAAGCTCCCTCCCACACTGGGGGCTCAGAGTATAGAGACATGCAGTCAGGGAGTGAAAAACGCCATTTGGTTCTGAGCAGATGGCTGGCTAGGGGGCTGATGGCGTCTAAAGGCGTGTCATCCCCCTTCAGCTTGAGTCCCTAAGGGCTCCCCTTGTCTTCCCAATCAATGAAAATTAAAGTGCAAAGAAAGGGTGAATAGTTGGGCCTCGAGTCTCTCTTTTGTTCGTCCCAGCTACTGGTGCGCAGGAGTTAAACTACAACCGCGCCTGTGGAAACAGCGCAGTTAAACTGTCTCCTGGTTAGCTCGGCTTTTGAAAGACTGGAGAGCAGCAGACCTGGCGGGGGGCGGGGAGAGAGAGAGAGAGAGAGAGAGAGAGAGAGAGGGAGTGAGAGAATGAATGAATGAAGAATCAGGAGAGGCAGAGCAACACAACAACAAGAACCAGAACACCACCAGGAAGGGCTTGCTGCTAGACTCCCCCGCGCAGAATCGCGTGGCATAAATTAAGCTGGGAAAGAATGAGCTGGGGGCAGGGTTCTGCGCATTTACCAAGCCTTTCAGTTCCGCTTTGCGGCCGTAATCGAGAAATCTGGGCGACTTCAGTGTAACAAACGCCGCAGGATACGCGGAGGTTTGTTAAAGATTTCGGCCAAGTCTCGCTCACCTCCCCCCCACACCTCTCTCCAAAGTTTAAGCCCTTGCGTGTGCAACTTTTTATTCCCAGTTTTCTAAGCAGCCTTTCCAATGAACCTGGGTCCCACTGCCATTTTGTCAGGAAAGATCCCTGAGAGCTCATTTCTTGCCAAGTGCCGCCGGGACTCCGGGCCCCACCCAAGCCCACATTCCCGCACGAGGTACTGCCTCCTTTCTCAAGAAGCAGAGCTCTCAGAAATCAGCTTTCGGCGGAAACCTCGACCAAGTGAAACAGGATGCTGACACTAGGTGGCAAGAGTCAATTAGGATTCGCGCTGGTCCAGCCCTGCGGTGCTGGGGCCAGGCCCCACAGAGCCACCGAGGGCGGCCGAGCGCCGAGCCTGGAGGCACCGAGTCGGCGGCAGCTTCGCCCCAAGCCTTGGAACGTTCTGCGCCGAGCGGTCCCAGTGTCCTGTGGGAAGCCAGGCCTTGCCCACTGCGCGCTGCCCCTCCTGCAGGCAGCTACGGCGAACCCGACCTTTCCCACTCAGCCCTGCCGAAACTCGCAGGTACCTGGCGAACGACTTCACGAGGCACTGCCACTTCACGACTGATGTTCGAAGTGGCTGTTTCCCGGGTTAGAGGGGCCCCTCCCCTTCGTGGGCATCCTATGAGAATTTGTGACCAGGACAGTTGCGTGAATGAAATGCACATTTTGCTACGGGAATGCACGTTTACACCCTGAAGCGGCTAAGACACGGCCCACCCCTCCAGCGAGGCCCCGGAGGGCCACCGCTCTCATGGCCCAGCCCCGCCTGGAACGACCCACAAGGATCAGAGTGACTTGACTCGGACGCTCACACCTGGCTTCCCAGTGAAGCTGCGGCGAGGTTTGGGAGCGAGATGGGGTTGAGCGAGGAGGGGAGGGAGAGGTGTCCCCTATTCCACCCCAGCGCCAGCCCCCGCTAAGTCAGGAGTCCCTGCCCCAACCTTCCGGCTCCCAACTCCGCCCTGGAAGCAGGAGGGTAACTTGGGTAAGTCCTGTGTGATACGTGTGTGCTCGGCCCTGCCAATAAACTCATTTCCCTTAAAAAAAAAAAAAAAATCAAAACAAAAGTTCCTGCGCCCGACGGCCGTGTACAAAAATAACCGGGTGCGGTGCGGGGGCGGTGGGGGCGGGGCGGCCGGGCGCGGGCGGCACATTGTGGCAGCGGCCGTGGCGTGCGCCGGGGGAGCCCTTTCTCCGCGCGCATTGTACGCGAGCAGGTGCTGGCCGCATTACCATACAGCTGAGCGCACAAAGGCCTACTGATTCAGCCGCGCACAATAACAAACTGCCTAATGACAGCCACGCGAACGACACACACCAAACTCACTTTTTACCAAGCGGAGGGAGGCCGAGGGGGGAAAGTGCCTGCAGAGAGGGCGGCCGAGACCCGCGGGGGACGGCGGGGCGGTGCGGGGACCGCGCCGGGGAGGCCATGCCGAGGGGCGGGGGCCCGGCGCGGCCGTGGACAGGAGCGGGGACCCTGGGCGCCGCGCGCTCCCGTCCCGCCGCCCTTGCCGGCTGCGCCTTCCAGGACGCTGGGTCGCCCTCTCGGCCGGGAGGTGTGTCGCTGCTAGCCTTTCCCAACTTGGAGCCCGGGCTGCTGTGGGGTCCCCACTCGGCCTCCCGCCCGCCGCCCGCACCACTCCAGCAGTGGTCTCTGCCCTCCCGCCGGCGGGCGGCTCCTTCCGGGGAAGGCCGCACTGGGTAGGGGAGTGGCGCCGCCGCGACTCTGGGCCTCCGGGACGTGGTCCCCGCCCCAGGCCGGGAGAGGAGCGGGTCCCTCGGCGGCCAGAGGCCGTGTCCCGCTGGCAGAAGTTGGTCGCGGTGCTGCGGAGAGGAGACGCCCACGCTTCCATGTATGTGTGTGTGTGTGTGTGTGTGTGTGTGTGTGCGCGCGCGCGCGCGCGCGTGCGTTTGCGCCGGGCGTGCGCGGAGGGGCCGGCGCGGCTGCGGGGGAAACGGGCACCAGTGCGAGGAGAGCAGCACCAGCACCGGGCACAGGAGCCGGCGCGAGCGCGGGGCACCGGCGCGGGCGCGGAGGGGCCGGGCGGCCTGCGCGCGCGGGTTCGCAGGAATGTAAATGAGCGCGCCGTGCGGGTCGGGCGGGGGCGGGGGCGGGGCGGAGGTGGGAGCGGTGGGGGCGGGGCGGGGATTGCACATTTTACAGCTCACTGACCATTTGGCGAGCATTGAGAGGAGGGTTTGGAAAAGTGGCTCCTTTGTGACAGCTCTCGCCAGATTGGGGGGCTGCTCATTTGCATCTCATTAGCCATGCGGGCGGCCGGCGGCATATAAGGAAGCCGGGCGCCGCCGAGACGCAGATCAGCGGCGCTCGCTCTCCGAGTTCAGGCCGGCCGCGCAGGGACCGCCGTAGGACGCGCCGGCGCCGCGTCCACTCCGCGACACCGACCGCTCCCCGACCTCGTGCGCCTCTGGGTGGATTCGTGGAAAAGACGCACATCTTCTCTGCGGCTCCAGAGAGGCGGCTCCAAGTGCTCTCTGAGCAGCCGCGCTGCCGAGTGGCTCCCGGGGTCGCGATCTGCAGGGCGCACCAGCCCGTGCACCCCGAAACGGCGCCCGCCGCAGTTGGCCCGCGCTCCCCGAAACGGATCGCGCCTCCGCCGCCCGTGCACCCCGCCGGGTCGCCGCCTGCTCCTTGGGCGCGGGGATTACCGCCTGGCCGGCAGGGATCGCCCGATCGCCGCGTTCTAATCGGCCCTGGAGGCCGCTGGCAACGCCTGGGAATTAAACTAACCAGTGGCCGGAGACAAAACCAGGAAGAGGACGCTGAGCCTCCCGCGGGCTGGAAGGGAGGGAAGCAAACCGAAAGTTGCGCCCGGCGAGCACCCCCCCCGCCGTCGGAGAGCAGCCACCCTGCGCCGTCCGCCGCCGGGAGGCGACTCAGCGGGGACAGGGCAGAGGAGAGGCGGGGAGAGCCAGTCCTCCTTATCCCTGCCCCGGGCAAAACACCGGCCTTTCGTCTGTCCGCACTTCTGGCAACCCCTCCATCCTCCATTAATTGCCTATCATTTTAAGAAGAAAAAAAAAAAACAAAAGGGGGAGGAAACAGGGCGAGCGAGCGCGCCATGGGCCGTCCGCGCGCGCTGGCCCTCGCTGTGGCCTCCGCCCTGCTGTGCCAGGTGGGTCACTGGGGCTTCTATTCAGATGGGGCCTGGTGTTCTAGGGGGAGGGTAACCGGGCTCCGCTGTGGCAGGCGCCGGGTAACCCCAGGCCCTGAAGTTCAGGGAGTGGCTCCCGGGCCTGCTGTGCCAGGTGGGGGACTCGGGGTTCGGGCGCACACGGATGGGCGCAGATCGCGGAGGCCCGCAGGGGGCGGGAGCCCGACACGGCACGCACACTGTCGTGGGACAGCGACGCCAGGAGAGGCGAGCCGGCGGGCGGGCTCCGGGCGCGGGGTGCGCTCTGCCCGGCGCCCACAGCCCTACCCCCGCGCGCAGGTCTGGAGCTCCGGCGTGTTCGAGCTGAAGCTGCAGGAGTTCGTGAACAAGAAGGGGCCGCTGGGGAACCGCAACTGCTGCAGTGGCGCGGCGGGAGGCTCGGGGCCGCCGCGCTGCGAGTGCAGGACCTTCTTCCGTGTGTGCCTCAAGCACTACCAGGCTAGCGTGTCCCCCGAGCCTCCCTGCACGTATGGCAGCGCCGTCACGCCGGTGCTGGGCGTCGACTCCTTCAGCCTGCCCGACGGCGCGGGCGGCGGCCACGCGGCCTTCAGCAACCCCATTCGCTTTCCGTTCGGCTTCACCTGGCCGGTGAGTACCGCTGGGAGGCCGCGGGGCACCGGGGCGGCCGGGAGGGGCAGGCGGAGGACTAACGGCCGAGGGCCCACAGGCTCCCAACCCTGCGCACTGCCCAGGCTCCGGCAGCGAAGGGAGCTCGGTACTGGGACCTCCTGGTTCCGGGTCCTACTTGGGGCTGGTGGTATAGGGCCGGCCCAGGTGACATGTCGGGCCCAGGCGTCCGACCTTGGGCAAGGATTTATACCCAGAACGCTAGGAACAACTGTTCCCCGGCCCCTCCCCCCAGTGACCCTCCTGCTCTCCCGAACTTGTTTTAAAGCATAATATCCTGTAAAACAGGCTGAAAAAACACAGCAGGAAACAGCTCTTAAAAAGTTCTTCCATTTCCTTAAGGAAAGTGAAAACAGGCCAAAGAGATCCCGTCTGTGTCCGCCCTGCCACACACACACACACACACACACACTCGCACACCCAGGCCTCTGTGATCCGTTGCACTGGGATGGGGGCTGGTTTGGGGAACCCGGGGTTTATGAGCACTGCCTTCCATTCCAGGGCACCTTCTCTCTGATTATTGAGGCCCTTCACACGGACTCTCCAGGGGACCTCACCACAGGTAAACACAATCCCGAAAAACTGTGGGACTGCACCCTCTCCGCCTGCGTGGCCACCCAGAGTGTCAGGACAGAGGGGAGCTGCCCTCTGGTGTCTCTTAGCTCCAGAGGGATGATCCCTGTGTTCCACCCTGCTGCCCTTCACCTCTGTTTCCTGCCCCTACAGAAAACCCAGAGCGTCTCATCAGCCGCCTGGCGACGCAGCGGCACCTGACGGTGGGCGAGGAGTGGTCGCAAGACCTGCACAGCAGTGGCCGCACGGATCTCAAGTATGCCTACCGTTTCGTGTGCGACGAGCACTACTACGGTGAGGGCTGCTCCGTCTTCTGCCGCCCCCGGGATGACGCCTTTGGCCATTTCACCTGCGGGGAGAGGGGAGAGAAGATCTGTGACCCTGGATGGAAGGGCCAGTACTGCACTGAGCGTGAGTCTCCTTGCTGGGATTCTGGGGGGTGCCCGGGCCCAGGGCAGAGCACCCAGAGCCCCTGCTCCTGGGCTGTTCAAACCTCCCAGAGCCCTTATCCATCGGAAGCTGTCTTTCTTAATCAGAGGGTTTCACCATGGGGCCAGGGGTCAGGAAATCAGCGTGTACAGCCCCGGGGCGTGGATGGTAGGCTGGGAGGACCGGAAGGAAGGAAGCCAAGGGTGGTAGGGGCAGGCTGCAAGCCAGAGTTGCTGCAGCAGCCTCTCATCTGTAATTGCTCGCGAAGGTGGTGCCCCCAGGGCCATGTTTCTAAACGTCTACAGTGACACACACTGTGTTATCAACACCCCATGTCACTGTGTGTGTGTGTGTGTGTGTGTGTGTGTGGTGTCCCTCCTCCCCCCAGTGTATGCAAACATAGAACACCACCCAGAGAGGCCACTGTTGTTCTCGTCATCCCAGGACAGTGGGTGTCCGGAAGCTTGTCCACAGGGACAGTGGCTGTCAGGCCTGGGGAGGGCACAGTGTGCCCTGCCTGCCCCATGGGTTTTTGTGCCCTTTTACTTGTTCAAAGGCTTGCCCAGTGCCTGGCCTGGTGGAGAGGTGGCTTGGTGCTACAATAGTGAAACCAAGCTTCCCTGCCAGATTACTAGGACCCAAATGTCAGCTCCCTGGTGCCAGGCGGAACTCTGCAGGAAGCAAAGTTGTCAGGGATGGGGGTGGGGCTGACTCCCGGCCTGGCTGGCTTCCCTGGGCCTCTGCCGGTCCCCAGAGGTCTCAGATTTGCTTGGTGAGGAGTTGGTGGGGCCTAAACCGAAAAACCAAACTCACTGCCATGGAGTCGGATCTGACTCATAGCTATCCCTCCTTGGGTTTCTGAGTTTGTATCACTGGGGAAGTAGATTGCCCAACCTCAGTCCAAGGAATGGCCCGTTAGGTTTGAACCACCAGCCTTCTGGTTAGCAATCCAATAAATGCCTTAGGCACTCCCCCACCAGAGCTCGCGGCCTGGGCCTAGAACCCTCCAGAAAGCCCAGTCCAGGGGAGAAGGTGAGCTAGGGGGCTCCCAGGCAGCGGGGGGTGGGGGTGGGGGGGTGCACGCCCGGGAGGTGCAGGGCCCAGTCTGGCCCCGCGCCAGGGGGTGGGGCGGCCCGTCCCTTTGGCCAGCCGCTTTCTCGAGTCCCGAGTCCCCCAGACCCGGCCGAGAGGCCCTGGTCAGCACGCCTGGTCTGAAGCTGACTGTCCCACTGAGCACTCGGCCGTTGCTTGACGCGTTTCCGAAGCCGGCCACAGAAGCCACTGGGCTCGCCTGGCCCTCAGCTCGGCCACAGGCTGCGCCCACCCTCTCCTTCCTCCCGCCAGAAACTTGGACTTTTCCTTCTCATTGCAATGCTCGGCCGCCCCCGCCCCGGCGCGCGTGCCGTAGATTAGCTCTCTCCCCGCCGCCGAGTGTGCGCTCCGGGCGCGCGTGTGCGCGCGCGTGCGCACGCGGGCCGCCGCGGGGGCCGGGGGAGGGGAGGCCGCATTGTGGCCCCGGGGCAGCTGCTGGGAGAGCGCAGACAATGGAGCAGCTGTCCTGCCCGGCACCCTGCACGCCAGCTGTCCACTCTTATCTACACACACGCTCCCCGGGATGGGAGGAGGGTGGGGCTTAGTGCTTAGAACGGGGTGGGGGAGGGGCGGAGGGGAAGGACTTCTGACCCTCGGAGAAGAAAAGGGGGCGGTGGGGGTGGGGGCTCCGGAGTCCGCTTTTGTCCGCGCGCAACTGTGTTAAGAGGAAGGTTGGCCCGAGGGCTGAGTGCGGTCCGCGGTTACCAGGCAGGATGGATCAATACCCCGCCAGATTGGGGAGATTAAGTCCCAGGCGCCGACCCTCACGGGCCCTTCTCTCTTCCTACAGCGATCTGCCTGCCCGGGTGTCACGAGCAGCACGGGGTCTGCGACAGGCCAGGGGAGTGCAAGTGAGTTGGCGGGCGCTCCTGCCCTTTGCCCTTCGGGTCACCCTTTTACACCCAGTGAGTCTGTGCTCGGTCCCTAGGTCATCCTGTGAGAAACCCCGGCGGGATTAGCGGGGGGGAGGGGCTCTACTGCCGTGCTGCTACTGGAGGAATGTGTGGGGTGTGGGGTCACTGGGTCACAGGGAGCTGTTTACAAAGGTGGGCACTGAAAGTGAGGGCCTTTAGCCTCTGGGCTCCCAACTGTGGGCCCCCGCTAGCACAACCTGGGCAGCTTTGGCTGCCTGCAGCCGACTCCCTGGGGGCCCCAGGCCTGGTGTGGGTGCTGCTGTGTGGCGGCCTCTGACCCAAGGCCCTCCCGTCTGTCCTGCAGGTGCAGGGTCGGCTGGCAGGGCCGGTACTGCGACCAGTGCATCCGGTACCCCGGCTGCCTCCATGGCACCTGCCAGCAGCCCTGGCAGTGTAACTGCCAGGAGGGCTGGGGCGGCCTCTTCTGCAACCAGGGTGAGCGTCCTGCCCGAGCCCGCCTGCCGCGAGGGGACCCCTTGCGCGGTGGCCACTGCGGCCGGCCTTCCTGACCTGACGTGCGTCCCACCCCCCCGCAGACCTGAACTACTGTACCCACCACAAGCCCTGTGGGAATGGAGCCACGTGCACCAACACGGGCCAGGGCAGTTACACCTGCTCCTGCCGGCCAGGGTACACAGGCCCCACCTGCGAGAGCGAGGTCAACGAGTGTGCCCCCGGCCCCTGTAAGAACGGAGGAAGCTGCACAGTACGTAGTGGGTAGTGGTGGGGCTGTCCTGGGAGGAGGGGCCTGCAGGTGGGGGTGGGGGTGGGGAGTGGCCTTCGAAAGCCAGTTTACCCCCATCTGTTACCTAGGACCTTGAGAACAGCTACTCCTGTACCTGCCCACCTGGCTTCTATGGCCAACACTGTGAGCTGAGTGCCATGACATGCGCTGACGGCCCTTGTTTCAATGGGGGGCGGTGCTCGGACAACCCCGACGGGGGCTACACCTGCCACTGCCCTGTCGGCTACTCTGGCTTTAACTGCGAGAAGAAGGTGGACTACTGCAGCTCCTCGCCCTGCTCCAACGGTAAGCGGATGGCCTGCAGCGGCCGAGGCAGGCCACCGAGGCACACTCCGTCCCGCCTCACCCACTCGCTCCCTCGTGGGGTGGGGTGAGCAGTTAGGGTTGGTGGCTCAAGTCCGCCCAGAGGTGCTTGGGAATAAGGGCCAGGCGACCTGCGCTATCAGCGCAAACCCCACAGAGAGTCCTCCCTGGCACCTGGGAGTCGCCACGAGTCGGAGCTGGCTTGGTTCTTGGGTACCATCTCTTTGTGAGGGACTTTGTGGCGTGCTGTGTCTGAGAAGTCGAGGATTCCCTGCAAACTTTATCCCTGAGGCCCTAACACCCAGCAAGGACAGGCAAGCAGGGCCCTCCCCCCCGCCTCTCATAGGGAAGGCGTCAGGCGGAGCATGGAGTGGGTGCGCCAGCCGGCACGGCCCCTTGTAACTCCGTGGGTTCACGTGGCAGCGGTACCCTGTGCATGCAGGGAAGCCCAGCCCTGCTGCCTTGTTCCCAAACACAGCAGTCTGGGGGTCGGCGCCTGGGAACCCGGGAGAAGGGAGTCTGTTGCTGCTGGAGCAGAACGAGGGGGCCCTGCCAGCGGGGCCTCGATGTGCCAGTGGGCTCGGCCCGGCTACCTCGGAGGGCCTGCCGCTGGGCGCAGAGGAGAAAGTGCCATGTAGGCGAGCAGGGCAGGGCCTGTGGGTCAGCTGTATGTCACTTCCACGCCCTGGACCAACGTGGCCACACGCCTTCTCCTCAGAGACGGGGTTGCCGGGAGGTTTAGGGAGCTTGGCGGGATGAAAAGACCTGCCGGCACCCGTGCCCCCTGCCTCCTTCCTCCTTCCATCCCCCCCTTCCCTGCGCACCATGCTCTTCTTCCCTTGCCGTGTCCCTGTGGCCAGGAGCCTGGCCTTCTTGAAGCCCTGGTGCCTTTGCATGACTCTTGTGGGGACTGGCCCCTTTCTGGGTTCCGTGAGGGCTGAACGAAGTGGGGTGGGTGAGACGCTGTGCCCAGTGCCAACGCTCCCCCTCTGATGCACGGCCCTGATGGAGTTTACTTTCTGAGCTGGAGTTGGACTCTTCCCAGTGGGTTAATCATCGCCAGATAGGGTACAGTGCCTTTAGCGGTGGACGCGTGGAGGCCAAAGGCTGTCTTTCGTTTGTCTTTCTGGCTCTGGGGTCCACTTGGTGCCAGACACGTGGTAGACGCGTGAGCAGGTGCCAGGAGGTGAGTGACGTATCCCTGCTGTGTTCCAGGGGCGCGGTGTGTGGACCTGGGCACTTCCTACCTGTGCCGGTGCCCAGCCGGCTTCTCGGGCCATCACTGCGACGGCAACGTAGATGACTGTGCGTCCCTGCCCTGCGTGAATGGTGGTACCTGCCAGGACGGCACCAATGACTACTCCTGCTCCTGCCCCCCGGGGTACACGGGCAAGAACTGCAGTGCCCCGGTCAGCAGGTGTGAGCAGGGGCCGTGCCACAATGGGGCCACCTGCCACGAGAGGGGCCGCCGCTACGTGTGCGAGTGTGCACGCGGCTACGGCGGCCCCAACTGCCAGTTCCTGCTGCCTGAGCCGGGGCCTGTGGTGGTGGACCTCACCGAGCGCTACCTGGAGGCCCCGAGTGGGCGCTTTCCCTGGATCGCCGTCTGTGCCGGTGTCGTGCTGGTGCTGCTTCTGCTGCTGGGCTGTGCGGCCGTGGGCGTCTGCCTGCGGCTCAAGGCGCAGAAGCGGCGACTGCCGGCCGACGTGTGCCGGGCCGAGGCGGAGACCATGAACAACCTGGCCAGTTGCCAGCGTGAGAAGGACGTGTCGGTCAGCATCATCGGGACCCCCCAGGTGAAGAACACCAACAAGAAGGCCGACGTGCACTGCGACCACAGTGCTGACAAGGGCAGCTTCAAGGCCCGCTACCCAGCCGTGGACTACAACCTGGTGCAGGACCTCAAGAGCGAGGACCCTGCCCGGGACGCCCACGGCAAGCGCGAGGCCAGGCCCGAGCCCCGCAGCTGCGCCGGCGTGGAGAGAGGCCCCTCGACGCTCAAGGGGTGCGTGGGGCACCGGGCAGGGTGGGGCGGATGCCTTGGGGCCTGGGTTTCCTTCCCAGCTTACTGTGCTCCTGGCTTGGCTTCTCTTCAGAGGAGAGGTGTCGGAGTGCAAGAGGCCGGACTCCACGTGTTCCACGTCGAAAGACACTAAGTACCAGTCGGTATATGTCATCTCCGAGGAGAAGGACGAGTGTGTCATCGCGACCGAGGTCCATATGGGGCTCATGTCGGGGCATCGGGGCTCGGTGTGGGGCTCGTGTCGGCATCGGAGGCATTGGGGCGGCTCTGTGGGGCTCGTGTCAGGGTGTCGGGGCACTGGGCTCAAGGTGGGCTCGTGGGGCATCAGGCACTGGGGTTCAGTGTCGGGATGTTGAGGCTTGGTGTTGGGGCTCAGTGTGGCACTGGGGCATTGGGGCCCAGCTGTGGCATCAGGACTTGGTGTCAGGGCACGTGAGCTGTGTGTGGGGCCTGGCGTGGGGCTGAGCACAGAGCTCGGTGTGGGGCACTGAGATGTGGGAGTGCAGCACATGGCTTGGTGCAGAATCATTGGGGTGTTGGGGCTCGGTGTCAAGGTGTAGAACTTGGTGTAGAGTTTGGTGTGGGGCTTAGCACAGGGCTTGATGGGGGGACATTGGGATGTCGGTGCATGGTGTCAGGGTATGGGGCTCAGCACAGGGCTTAGTGTGGGGGTGTCGGGTCAGGGTTCACTGTTGGGGTGTCAGGGTATCGGATTCAGCACAGGGCTTGATGTAGGGACATTGGGGTGTTGGGGCCTGGTGTCGGGGTGTGTGGCTCAGCACAGGGCTTGATGTGGAGGCATTGGGGTGTCAGGGCCTGGTGTCAGGGTGTGGGGCTCAGCATAGGGCCTTGTATGGGGGCATTGGAGGGTCGGGGTCCATTGCCGGGTGGTTGGGGTATGGGACTCAGCCCAGGGCTTTATATGGGGGTACTGGGGGTATCAAGATGTGGGGCTCAGCACAAGGCTTGGTGTAGGGGCTCTGGGGTGTCGGGGCTCACTGTTGGGTTCTCGGGGCTGCTCCCCTGGACGCCGGGAGGTGAGGAGAATAGAGGAGGCAGAGAACTGTCTGACCCCATCCTTAACGCCGCCTCTCCCTTCTGTTTCGTGGCCTACCCAGGTGTAAAATGGAAGTGATACGGCAAAATCCCCATTTCTCTTCAAATACATAGAATTCCAAGGATAGCTGCCCAGACGGATGCTGCTGTGAGAGGGGCGGAGGCCCCGGACTGCTGCTGAGAACGCCATTCAGACCGAGCTGGCCCTCTTGCCGACCTTGACAAGCGCCTGCAGACGGCCTGCGCGGGCCGGCGGGCAGGACGCCCCTTGCACTGCCCCTGAGTTTCCGTTGCACTATGGACATGGCTTTGAAAAGATTTATATTGAACGGACGGACAGCCTGAGGACAGATGCTCGTGCTGCCTGAGGTGTGTGTCCTGGGCCCTGTGAGCCTGTCTCTCCTTCACTTAGAAGCCCAAACACTGCCTTGATTGTCCTCTTTTTGATACTGAAATATGTTTTTCTAGGTGGAAAAAAATGTGTGTTATTTTTTGGATTTGTAAAAATATTTTCATGATATCTGTAAAGCTTGAGTATTTTGTGATGTTCATTTTTTATAATTTAAAACTTTTGGTAAATATGTACAAAGCACTTCAGGTCTATGTGACTATATTTTTTGTATATAAATGTATTTATGGAATATTGTGCAAATGTTATTTGAGTTTTTTACTGTTTTGTTAACGAAGAAATTCCTTTTTAAAATATTTTTCCAAAATAAATATTATGAATGACAACCAAAGGTGTCCTCACTCACGCCCTGTCCCTGGTGGGAGAGGTCCTAGCAGGCATAAACTGGAACTCCCCTGGCTTTAACCAAGAGGTTCATGTCCACTGAGATGTGCCTTGGGGAAAGGGCTGGAGATCTGAAAAGTCAGCCGTTGAAAGCCTCCTGGAGCACTTGACTCTGCCACGCACGGGGCCTTCAGGAGTCACAGTCAACTTGCTGGCACCTGTCTGCTCTTCTCTCATCAGTTTCCTTGTTTGAGGCCCTGGCGTTCCTGTGGTAGATTCTCACTGTGCATGGCGACAACGGTTTGATTCCCAGCCAATGTACCTCAGGTACCACCACCTGGAGGTCCATGGAGGCTGCATGTTGCATTGATGCTACACAAGTTTCAACAGAGCTTTTAGGCAAAGGCCTGGCCGTCTAAGTCTGAAAATCCACCACCAATGAGAACCAGTGCAGTACAGTTCGACTGACACACAAAGGGTCACCAGGAATCGGGCTCAACGAGGTGGTAACTGGTTTGGTTTCTCCTAAATGGACTTGCCCCGCCTACTTGTTCTGGGAGAACCCTGGAGACAGAGATGACCTTGCCTTTGCTCTTTTAAAAGTGTGTCTGGCTTCCCTGCACTGATGCAGGGTGACGTTCTCACTCCCATGCTGCATGGAGGACCTCCCTGTGGTGGTGCCATTGAAGGGATTTAACAAGGCCAGCTCTGCCACTGCCAGCAACTGACCTGGGAGCAGCGTGCTGTCTCGGATCATAGCTCATAGGGTCTTCTCATGCTGGGCTTTATTGGGGTGGCCACTTGCCTTTTGAGCCTTGCTTTTTTAAGACTTGAGCAGAGCCTCATCTTGCACCAGATACCCTGCTTTCCTCTCTGCCTGCTTTGAGCATCAAACACAAATCTGGACCTGGTCACCCAGGCCTTGCACAGGCTGGCCCCTCACTCCCTCCTGCCTTGTTTTATGTTCTTTCCACCCACTTTCTCCTGTCACTCTCTGCCCCAGCCCCACTGGCCTTTCTCCAGCACACAGGGCTCTCCTCCCCAACACTGTGAGCTTTCCGACGGGCTCCTCCCCTGCCCTAAAGTCTCCCTAGCTCGCCATCATCCAGAAGCCTTCTCTGGGCCCCCAAACTAGGTGCCCACCCCTGTGGACAGAGGCCCTCAGAGCAGCTTACTTGTGGCATTGTTATTAGTGAGTGCAAGCAATCCTCGGTGTGAGTTCTGCAGCCCATGACCCCAACTTGGTGCTTCAAGATCCTCCAAAATGCTGCTCAAAAGTGGGAGCTACAGGTCGAGGACACACACAGACACACATCCAAAGCAGAAGAGGTGCTTGTCAAAGTTTGTAAGGACACTTTGTCGTGAGAGTTGTCTGATTTTGGTGCTCACTCTTACCAGGGTCACTGGGATTTTGACCCTGCTACCATCTAGTTGATTCCAACTCAGTGACCCTAAAAACAGAGTAGAACTACCCCATATGTTTTCAAGGCTGTTGTCTTTATGGAAGTGAAGCCCAAACCAAACATACCACTATCAAGTAGATTCTGAGTCACAGTGGCCCTAGAAAATAGAGTGGAATTGCCCCAGAGAGTTTCTAAGGCTGTCAGTCTTTGTAGAAGCTGACTGCCCCATTTTTCCCCTGTTGAGCTGCTGGTGGGTTCAAACTCCCAACCTTTTGGTTAACAGCCATATGCTTTAACCACTGTGCCACCGGAGCTCCCTAGTACTTTGGAACTAAAGAGTAAAACCAAGCGAGCGATTATCTGCATGGACAGTTGTGTCCTGCTGTTCTCACTTTGATACCTGGTTTCCAGACATAGCTATTCCCAGGTGGTGCAGACAGGCATGTCGCTGCTAACCAAAATGTTGGCCGGAGGAACTCGCCCACAGGGGCCTTGGAGACAGGCCTGGTGACCTGCTCTCTGAAAGTCACAGCCACGAAGACCCTACGGAACAGTTCTACGTGAGCACGTGCAGTCACCACGAGTTGAAGCTGACTGGATGGTGACCAGTTCACCACACCAGAGAGCACCCTGGGTGTGTTTGCGTGGTGTCCAGCAGAGTCAGATACTGTTAGTTGCTTCTCAGTCTGTGAATTTCTGGGAAGGGAGGGGAGTTCACATGCTGTCTAAGAGGAAAAGTCCTAGCGAATTCAAGTGTGGGCGTGAGAGGCCAGCCTCCAGGAAAGCGCAGTGGCTGCAGTCGAAGGTGGTGCCTCACGCCACAGGCACGAGACGTTGAGGTGCCTTTGAGAACCTCCAGTGCTTGCCACATGAAAGTGATCACAGGTCATTTTTATAGGTGACATGCATCACTGCAAGGTGTCTGTGTTTTTCTCAGAGCAACCTTTGTTCATTCTCATTTGCTTAAATCCATGATTTTTCCTTTCAGAGAGACCCATCTGACCTCAAGGACACAGAACTGAGGCACACCTGCGCCTGACCCAAGCCCTTGTCTTTTCAGTCACCTCCTATGCATGTGAAAGCTGGACAACGGATGAGGAAGACTAAAGAAGAACTGATGCCTTTGAAATAGAGTATTGGTGAGCAACATTGACCACACCGTGGACTGCCAGGAGAACGAACGAGTCTGTCTTGGAACAAGTGCAGCCAGGATGCTCCTTAGAAGCAGGGATGGCAAGGCTTCATCTCATGCATGTTGGACACGTCATCAGAAAGACAAGTCGCTAGAAAAGGACATGATGGTGGAAAGTGGAGGGTGAGCACAAGGAGCCCCTCCAGGAGGCGGCTAGCGCTGTAGCCACAATGGACTTGAACACACTGATGATCGTGTAGACGGCGCGGAGCCAGGCAACGTTTTGTTCTGTTGCGCAGGAGGTTGCCATGAGTAAGAGCCACCTACGGGAAGACGACGGGCTATGACGGGATGTGATCAGCAAATGGAGGTGGATGGTCATCCCAGGACCTCTTCTACGATGGTTTCTCTCTCTCAGGCAGGGAATTTATTTAGGTCTATTTCTCAAACTCCCCCGGGGCCCCCAACCCTCTTCCGGGGGTGCAGGCTTGCCTCTCCCGTCAGAATGCCCCAACAGAGCCCTGCAGAGGCACTGGCCTCTTCATAGTGACTGAGGAAGGGGGCTGGGCTTAGCTCAGTGCTCACAAGTGAGGACTGTTTTGTGAATTGGCCATGGCAACATGAACTTTCCCTGGCACACTGCCAGTCGACACTGCATTTGGCGAGTCCCCAGGAAGCACAATCTGACCCATCCGGAAGTCGGCGGGTTTGTATGTTGCAATCCACTTGCCCCCTTCCTGCTACACAGTTCTTTCCGGGAACAGAGAGAGGCGTTTTCACTCTGCCTGCCATTTCGGATGGTCTGCGCCATCGCCTCTCACTAGCCTGGGGAGTGTCACCGTGGGGTGAGCCTTCCCCAGAACCATCCGCACATTCACTTGCTCCCATTGGCATAAGCACAGGTGCCACTCCACACATAAAAGCCACCTTGGAATTGGCTGGGTGTTAGATCTCATCCTCTCTCCAGACTTGCGTGTGGAGCCGCGGGCCCAAGGGGGACCTCGACCACTGGTTGAACATGGGGTGAGGCTGAAGCTGAGGGGCTGGGCTGCTTCCCTGAGGCCAGCAGGACAGCTCTCTGGGGCGTCCTCCTCTTCCTGCCTCTGGGGACAGCCCCTTGGAGACTAGAAGCTGTGGGAAGGAAGGAGATTCTCTCCTCCGTTTCTGTAAGGCCTATTTTGATTCCAAGAGTAGAATTAAGAATGTAATGGGACAACCGAAGGCTCTGGGGAAAGCCTGTGATGTGAGGCCAAGAGTGTGGCTTCCGGACCCGCTGGGCTGTCAAGGACAGCGTCGCCAGGTTCTTCTAGGGGACGCCTGAGGGTCTCACGGCAGAATGAGGAAGTGTCTTAATAATGTGTGTGGCTTGGGATTAAAGCCAGAATTGAATAGGAAATTCAGTAATATGTCTGAAGGTGATACTCCATCCTTAAAAAGACAGTCTTTGAAATGAAACTAGCAGGCAAGCAAACATGTAAATAATCAAAAATTACCTAAGAACAGCAACAAAACAAGAAAACTTCAGAGTTTTTGCTCCCTATTCTTGCCCCCTCTCCCTGGTACTGTGACACCCCTCCCTTGCATTGCTCAGTTGCCTGTGTGTCAAAATATCTCGTGGACCTTGGAAACTATTTGAAAATGTATTGTGTAGAATGTAATAAAATGATGAGATTTTTATACAAAAAAAAAAAAAAGAATGTGTTTGACTACGGACTTAGGACCACAGTTACGGGGACGCTGAGGTCCACTGGTGTACCATAGTTCACAAAGACGATGTTCTACTTCCTACTTTGGTGAGCAGTGACTGGGGTCTCAAGAGCTTGTGAGTGGCCATGTAAGATGCAACTAAGGTCTCTCTCCCCATCCAGAGCAAAGAAAATGCACGGTGCAAGGCAACGAGCTATCCCAAGGACTAATGGACCCTGTGAACCTCAGCCTCCAGGACCCTCAGACCAGAGTTAGATGGTGCGCAACTCCTGCTGCTGACTGCTTTGAAGGGGATCACAACAGAAAGTCCTGGACAGAGTGGGGGAAAATGGGAAACAAAACTTAGAATTACAAAATGACCAGGCTTACTGGTCTGAGAGAGACTGGTGGAATACTGGAGACCATGGCCCTTAGACACCCTTCGGGTCCGGAATTGAACTCACCCGCATGGCTCAGCTTCCAATCACAAACTAGGCAGGCCTATAAGGTGACCGACAGCCCCTGGGAGGTGCGCACGCATTAGAATGATCAAACGTAGGAGGAGATCACGAGGGCCAAGCGGGCAGCGCTTGCCCAGGATAAAGCTGACAAAGGAGGAAGAGGCAGGAAAGTAGGACCAAGGGGACGCCCAGGAAGTGGGGAGAGAGCTGTCACAATGTTGTTGTTGTTGTTGTTAAGTGCCGTCGAGTCGTTTCCAACTCATAGTGACCCCATGCACAGCAGAACGAAACACTGCCCGATCCCACACCAGCCCCACAATCCCTGCTATACTTGAGCCCATCATCGCAGCCACCGTATCAATCCATCTCGTTGAAGGCCTCCCCCTCTTTCTTCGACCCTCCACCCTACCAAGCATGACATCCTTCTCCAGGGAATGGTCCCTTCTTACAACATGACCAAAATAGGTGAGACGAAGTCTGGCCATTCTTGCTTCCAAGGAGCATTCTGGCTGCACTTCCTCCAGGACAGATCTGTTAGTTCTTTTAGCAGTCCATGGTACTTTCAGCATTCTTCACCAGCACCACAACTCAAAAGCATCAACTCTTCTTCAGTCTTCCTTATTCATTGTCCAGCTCTCACATGCATACCAGGCGATTGGAAATATCATGGCTTGTGTCAGGTGCACCTTAGTCCTCAATGAGATATCCTTGCTCCTCAGCACTTGAAACAGTTCCTTCGCAGTTGACTTTCCCAATGCTACACGTCGTCTAATGTCCTGACTGCTGCTTCCGTTGTCACAATGTGGGGACTGCAATTGGCGTCACAAAGCAGAATGTGTGTGCATTGCTGAATGGAAAACCAATTTGCTCTGTAAACTTTCACCCAAATCATAATTAAAAAAGAATGTGATTGCATGTGTGTGACGTGTCAGTGTGTGAGCATGTGTGTGTAACTGCATGTGTGATAACATGTATGTACATGTGTGTATATCAGTGTGAGTGTTAATTTTTGTCAATGAGTGGGTGAGTGTGAATGTATGGTATGCATAAACATGTATGTGTTTGAGTGTCAACATGTGTGCACATCATTGAGCATGTGTGTTAGCATGTATGCATGTCAGCAAGTGTGTATGAGTGAGTGTGCACATCAGGAGTGCATGTGTGTGTCAGTGTGAGCATGTGTGCACATCAGGGACTGTGTGTCATAGTGTGTCAGTGTGAGCATGTGTGCACGTTAGCAGGTGTGTGTGTGAGCATGTGTGTACATCAGCAGACTGTGCGAGTGTGTGTCAGTGTGAACATGTGCGTACGTCAGCGACTGTCATAGTGTGTCGGTGTGAGCATGTGTGCATGTCAGCGAATGGGTGTGTGAGCGTGTATGCACATCAGCCGTGTGTGTGAGAACATGTGTGGTGCTGCTGCTGGTGGAGGTGCCCACCAAGTCCTGGCGCATGTGTCCTCTCTGGTATTTCTGGCCCTTCCCCTTGAAGAGTCCGAGTCTGGGCAAGAAAATGTCTCTTGATGCTGGGGCAAGTTGGCTGTCCAGTCCTGGGGAAAGTGAAATGGACATTTTAAGTGAGCATCTAGGAAACAGGCCTTGGTGTCCTTCTGTCCATTTATTCGCCAGAAAAGTGCTTCTTTCAGATGCAGCTCAGTGGTCATTCAATGTGTACTTTGCTCCGAGATGGGTGCTGCCCGTGCAGTGGGGATGGCTGCCAGCTCTCTGGGGCTCCTGGATTACTGGTGGGAAAGGGGGCGCCTCTGCTGAGGTGCACAGGCTCCTGCCCATCTTGGGACGCAGGGGCCATGCTCCTCCACTGCAGTCAGCTGTCGAGGCCGGCTCTGGCCAGCGGCGCGAGCAGAGGAATGGCTCTACCTCTGGCTGACGCGCTGAAATGCTGGGATGAGGCTCTTCTGCCTCATCCCTGCATTGGATGCCTTCTTCTTGGTCTCTGTCTTGGGAGACTGACCAAACGGGCAAGAGAACCTCACTTGACACCTCCACCAGTCAGTAGACCCCGTATCACCTGACCACCCGCCCTTGAACCCTGTGCCCCGCCCCCAGCCAACATCACCCCGAAGTGCCCGGATGTAAGATCAGCTGCAGAGGCCCTTCTCCTGGGGTTGACCCCTGTGTCCCCTCACCTCTTCTTTGGAGCATTTGGGTGTTGTTGATCATCCCCATACATACGTCACTGGGACTGTCTCATTTCTCCACTGTAGTGAATTGCTAGAAGTGGAATTATTTTTGTCAAAGGGAAGACACATTTTAAAGACTCTTACTATATATTTAGAAATTTGTGTCTGGAAAATTTTTGCCAATTTACAATCCTACCACCTGTTCTTGGCCAACATGATATTAGCGTTGAAAAACCTTTCTTTTGCCTCTTGAGGTGGACATAGCAGACCATAGTCCCTTTAGTCTGTGTGCTTACAGTTTTGAAGACCTGTTTCCATGGGTTTGGGGTCCTGTTCCCCTCACCTGCTCAGGATCTCGCAGAGTCCAGACTCTGGCGTTTGAACACACTGTGTGACTTAGACCTGCTGGCTGGGTCATCACCCTCCTTCAGGTGGGTCATCGCTCTCCTTCAGGAGGGACAGACTCCTTCCTGCCGGCCCAGCGGCTGGGGTCCCGTCTGCTAGGGGGTTTGGATTATGCAGAAGTCGTGGCCCTGCACCTGTGGAGTTACCCGGGTAGGAGACAGGGCTTCTCTTTGTGATGTTGTTGAGGCCAAGCCTGTGAGGACTGGCCCCTAAACCTTGTCCCTTCTGAGTTCTACAAAGACTGGAACCGACACGGAGACACAGGGAGGAGAGAGACCCCTCGTGAGGCTGGATAAGGATCCAGGCATTGACACTGGCAGGACCCTGACCTGGATGCTTAGCCTCCCGAACTGTGAGACAATGTCTGTCCTTTACAGCCACCCCTGTGCCACAGCAGCACTGAGTGACAGGGACAGGGAGGGCCGGGCTCAGGGCTGAGGGAAGGGTCGGTGCCGGGCCAGCCCGTCCTGGTGAAGGCGCTCTGCCGTGAAAACACAGAGAGTGAGCCCTGAGCGTCTGCCCAACTTTCACAGGCGGCTCTGTCTGCTGCTTGTCTTTATTTTTCAGTAACCCAAGAAGACGCACACATTTCAAGTGAGCAGTTTGTTGAGTTTTGAGACATGTGTATAAACCAAGCCAAACCCGCTGATTTGGAGGCAATGCCCACCCACAGCGCCTCTAGAGGACAGAGTGGAACTGCCCTGGAGGGTTTCCAAGGCTGTCAGTCTTTATGGAAGCTGACTGCCTCATCTTTTCCCCGTGGAGCAGCTAGTGGGTTCCAACCACCGGCCTTCTGGTTAGCGGCCAAGCACTTTAACCACCATGCCACCAGATACACGGATAAACTCACGAATAAATAAAGAGACAGGAGAAATAAGCACGACTCCTGGTGACCCTGCCGGAGCAGAGCCGGCCTCAAGGGCCCTCAAAGGCGGGTTCTTCAGAGGCGGGTCACCAGGCCTCCTTCCTGGCGCCTTCTGCTCCTCGGGTTTCTGGGATTCAGCCCTGCCGCTGTGCACTCCCACACCTCACCTCTGCAGTTGCTGAGGGTGGGGACTGAGCCGCCCCAGTGGGCCGGGCGGGTTAGTGGGTCTGCAGATGCAGCCTTCACTGAGCCCCGTGGTGAGCATCTTCCTGCCCCGTCCTGGCCCAGACTGCATCCCCACCGGGCACCCCTCGAGCACCTGCTGCCGCTCTGTGTCTCCCTGACGCTGTTCCTGCTCTGACTCAGGCCTGGGCCTCCCTGCAGGGAGGGGCTCCTGCTGCACGAGGTGGGGCCAGGGGACCCCTCTGAGCAACTCTACTGGGGGACCGAGACATGGAGCTCATGCCTGGCACTGCCCACTGGCACCCAGGACGGTTTGGGCGGGGAGGCTCAGGAGGAGACACAGTGGCACTGGCCGGGGGTCACTGGGAGGGTGGCACTTTTTTTTTTTTTATTTTGATTTATATTTATTTATTTACTTTATATTTTATTTATTGTGATTTTGGTGAAGATTTACAGAGCAAATTCACTTTTCATACAGCAGTTCACATATACTTTGTCTCATGTCATTGACCACAGTTTACCACAATGTAACAGCTCCCCTCCCACTTCCTCCCCATAGTTACCTCTTCCCAGTGTCCATCCCTCCATACTCTCCTGCGCCCTGAGCTGTCTCCCTGTGCATAAGCAGCCCTTCCTTCTCCCATGATTGTTCTCTCCAGGGCATGTGTCTACTTGAGGTAAATGTTTAACTCACATAGGGTGGCACTTTTTAAGTGGGGGGTATCCCATCAAGGCTGACTCAAAACAGGAGAAAGGGTGTGGACTCTCCCCCGTCTCCGCTGGCCTGCGTGCCTGTCACCAGAAACACGAGTGGCTGCCATAGTGCGGCAGGCAGCGGCCACGCTCAGCACTGGGCCCAGGATTTCTCCCCCTGCCCCGTGCCCCTTCATGGCTCTTTTTTGAGACATGAGCCATCTGTTTAGAGAGACCACCTGGATAGAGGGAAAGAGAGGCTCCAGGGCTCACGCTCACCTTTATTCGGCTGGCGGGCGAGTGGTGCGGAGGGCTCTGTGCAGCTGTGGGACAGGCTGCAGCAGCTGTGGAAACTGAACCCCCGCTCGGCCCTGAGAACTTGCCTCACCTCAGGCAGCAGGTGGCTGGCTGCACGGCGGCCCCACTCTGGTAGCGCCAGCCCTCTGCATCCTGCTCAGTCTTCAGTCTGCCTTTGCTCAGATGGAATGATAGGGACCCCTTCCCAGATGGGAGAGCTAGGGCCAGAAGATGAGGGAGTCGGGGCAGGTGGGCAGGGAGAGCTGGGGCCAGAAGTCCTCATTCATCAGAAGGCCAGGGCTCTGGCTCGTCAGCCGGGGAGGTGGCCTCATTCCTCCTCCTCAGTGACGAAGAAGCTCTTCAAGCTGTAGGAGACGACACCCTGACTGCCACCCTTGCTGGTGCCGGGGACACCACAGCGCTGGGCAGGGGGAGGCCCCTGGGCTGGTGAGCTGCCGGAGGGCAGAGGCGGCGAGGGTGCCGTGAGGCAGAGTGCTCGGCGGGGAGGCACAGGGCTGACCGGGAGGGCCTGTTTGTGCACGGCAACACAGGGACGCTTCCCAGTTTTTACACTCCTTGTCCACAGGTAGCAGGGAGTCACCAGCCCATGTCATGGATCACCGGCCCTGGAGTGAGTCAGACTGGGTGGCTGGCATCATCCTTCCCAACAGACAAATGACTCACCTCAAACTGCGATTTCTCCCCAGCACGGCCAGGTGGGATTTGGGTGATCAGCCACTTGTTTTGAAAATATTTTAAATGTGTTCAGAACCTAAACTCATCATTAGGGGTCAAACATCTGTGCATGTGGATTGAGTTAACCTGCTCTTACAAGCCACCCGTGGGTGTAGTACTGCAGATGTCCAGTGGAAGCACAGCCAGTTTTATGCCCAAAATAGAAGATTCAGGAACAAGGAGCTGGGCGCTGCAGCCCTCTGACCATATGTTGACAGACGTCTACAGGCAGAGGGAGAGCAGTCTCAGAGTGAAGGTGACCAGTAGCCTGCTCGCTGTTGGGTCCAGGTGGGAGGTGCTGGACTGGAAACGTGCACCAGCTCTTTGTGCAGAAGGGGCTTCAGGATCAATGCTGGGCAGGACTCAGCTGTGTTGGGCTTCAGAAGCAGGTTGCCTGGTATCCTGGCCTCTTCTGAGGAACACGTCCTGGGCAGCCGTCAGCCTGTGCCCAGATGGTTGGAGAGGAGTGGAGCTCCAGTGTACTCCTTCCCAATCAGGACGCAGATGTGCTGTCAGCTGCAAATGTCCAGCCAAGGCACGATGGGGGTGGGGCTGCACACGCACGGTGCTCCATCAACTGGGCTCCTTCCACGTGTCCTGCTAGGTCCCTGCTCTCTGCTGAGGCACTGAAGCCCCACACAGCAGCTCGCCGGAGGTCGCAGATGACAAGGAGTCAGCATGTCCCCTCAGCCCATGGTTGCCTGGCAACCAGCACAAGCATTCGAAATACTTCCATCTTCTGGAAATGGTCTCTGATTCTAAGAGTCTTGGACTCTAAGTAGGGCAGATAGGATTTCTATTTTATCAGTGGGGAATCTGAGGCTCCAGCACATGTAGGTAGCATGGTAGGACATCAAGCGAGCTTACCTTCCCATAACCCTGAGGCCCTTTAAATGGGTTAGAAGGTAACTTTTATTCGATTATGTCCTTTGCAAATCTTGATATTCTTCTATTGGATAGGCTTAAAACAGCCACTTGGATCTAAGCATTATATTTCTTGTGTACTGCCCTGTTTCCAGGTCACACCAGAATGACAAAACAAGCCCACTGACAGACAAAATTCCAGCTACTCTGTGGAAATGCAGGGCCCTTTCCCATTCCTCCAGAGCAGTGCCGGCAGCACTCTCTACAGTGACTGGAATGCCTCCATCAGCCCTGTCCAATATGACGGCCACATGTGGCCAGTGACTACTGTACTGGAAGCACATCTCAGGAGAAGGGTTAGCGTGGTGCTCAGTGGCTGCCATTGCCTTCCTCTGCTGCAGCTGTCCGTGAAGACCCGGCTGCTCTCTCTGCTGCTGATGTGGGCTAAGTGTGTGCATTCCCAGACTGAATCCTGACTCCATTTCCTATGCCTCCATTAGCTATGCCAATTTGTGCAATTGCTTTTTGTCTCCCAAAATATTTTGTTTAAGTCCCAACCTCCAGTACCTGTGAACGTGACCTTGTTTGGAAACAGACTCCTTGCAAATGCTATTTGTTAAGATGGGGTCATCCTGGAGCATGTTATTGTTAGCTGCTGTTGAGTTCACCCAACTCATGACAAACCCATGCACAACAGAGTGAAGCCCTCCCCAGTCCTGTGCCTTCCCCAAGACGAGAAACTCCACTGAAACCTGTTCACCATCTTAGCAACATACAAGTCTCCACTGACAGATGGTGGCTTCACATGAGGTCCCCTGGTGGGGACTCGAACCTGGCCTTCCCCATGGACGTGGAAACTCTGCCCCTGAATCCTCCCTGTCCCCATCCTGGAGTAGGGTGGAAGGAGATGATGAAGAAGCTCAATGTCACCAGTCAGGACAAGATCACGGGCTGACCACAGAACCAGCCATCAACTGCTCATTGCAAGTTCAAGTTGAAGCTGAAGAACATGAAAACAAGCCCATGACAGTCAAAGTACAACCTTGAGTATATCCCACCTGAATTTAGAGACCACCTCCATAATAGATTTGATGAATTGAACATGAATGACTGAAGACCAGACACTTGGTGGGATGACATCAAGGACAACGAAGAAAGCAAAAAGTCATTAAAAAGACAGAAAGAACCAAAATGGACGTCAGAAGAGACTTGGATACTTGCTCTTGAATGGAGAGTACTCAACACGAAAGGAAGAAAGGATGAAGTAAAAGACAGCTCTTTTACAGAAGTTTCAAAGGCAACTTGAGAAGACCAAGTCAAGTAATACAACAAAATGTGCAGAGACTTGGAGTTAGAGAACAAGAGGGGAAGAACATGCTCAGCATTTCTCAAGCTGAAGGAAGCTCGAAGGTGCATATTGAAGGATTCTAAGGACCAGGCAGTGTCCTATTCTGCTGTACACTGGGTTGCTGTGAGTTGGAGCCAACTTGATGGCACCTAACAGCAACAACAACATGGGAAAGAATTGACAGACACAGGGGGCATCAGAAGAAGGTGGAAGGAATCCAAAGGGTCACTGCACCGGAAAGAATTGGTCAACCAATTCAGGAGGTGGCGTATGATCGAGAACTGATGGTCCTGAAGGAAGAAGCCCAAGCTGCAGTGAAGGCATTGGTGAAAAACAAGGTTCCAGGAGGTGACGGAATACCCACTGAGATGTTTCAACAAACGGGTGCAGTGCTGGAAGCACTCTTTTGTCTACACCAAGAAATGTGGGGAGCTGGGGACAGGGGTATGGGGAGGGGCCCTAGAGGGACATGGAGAAGGGGCATGGGAAGGGTTCTGGGGAGGGGATAAGAGGAGGGAGTGTAGGGAGGGGTGCACGAAGTATGGGGAGGGGAGCCCACGTTGGGCATGGGAGGGAGCCAACAGGCTGCTGTGGTTCTGTGTGGTTGCCTCGGACGCTTCACGGGGCCCCTTTGTCTCGGCTGACAGTTGGGCCCTGTCATCTGTGCCCTAGAACCCAGGGTGCTCCTGGGGAGATACCCAGCTCCCCCCACCCCCACCCCAAGAGGACATTTCCGACGGGCCCAGTGACAGGTGCGGGGGCAGCTGCTCCTGAGTCACGGCCCGGCTTCTTTCCAGTCCGCTGTGTGTGGGGTCAGGGGCTCCCACAGGGCTTTGCTCACAAATGTTCAAGGCATGCTCTCGAGTCTCCTCACTCCGGCAACAGCTCTGCTATTTATTAGCTGAGTCACGGGACCGCGGCAGGTCTGGGGGTCCCACGTGAGGGGGAAGCCTCGGTTGCCAGCCCCTGCGGCTGCTTTGAAGTACGCTGCTTCTCCAGGGGCGTCTTTTGGAGAGGAATCATCCAGCCTATGCTTGGGGCAGGCTCTCAGAGATGGTGTCAATTGTAAAGGGGCTCAGGCTCATTTTGGGGGTGGGGTGGGGAGTGAGAATCTCACTGTGCTCTGCCTGTGAAGGCTCCCACCCCGACTGATGGGCCCGTCTCCCAGTAGGTGTCACCCTACTGGGCGCACGTGTGCATGCCTGTGCACCGTGTGAATGAGTAGGGGTGCTCGGGGCACGGTGGCCTGGTAGCGGCACTGCACAGCCGTTAGCTCACTCACTTGACAAATATTTAGAGAGTGACCTTGGGCCAGACCCTATGCTTAATGAGCAAATCAGCAAGGTGCCCGTGGGTCTCATGGCACTTTTATGGAGTAGTGCCTAAGGCACTTTGACTGCTAACCAGAAGGCTGAGGGTTCAAACCCACCAGCCACTACTCGGAAGGAAGACTGGGCAATCTACTTCTGTAGAGATACCGCCTTGGAAACCCAAGGAGGGGTCGGATCTGACTGGACGGCAGTGAGTGAGCACTCAGTGTGGAGGGCATTTGCAGGCTGAGAGATAAAGAAAGGCCTGTGTTTGGCAAAGGGTGTCTGGTTTCAGAGGAGTCCATAGGACTCCACAGCTCCTCTCAGACTTTGACCCCAAACGCTATGAATGTCCATGCTTGATCGTCATGGCGTCTCTGCGTCTCCTGGAAACTTTGGCTTCCACCAGTAAGTTGTTCCTTTAATGTGGTGACGGCAGCATCTCCCATGATGGCCTGTTTACGGCTATACCTCCTTATGCTCAGGTCTGACAACCAAACTGAAAAACCAGCTGCTGTCAACTCTGCCTCCTGTCGTCCCCACATGTGTCAGAGGACAACTGTGCTCTGGAGGGTTTCAGTGGCTGACTTACTTGGAAGGAAATCACCAGACCTTTCTTCCGATATTCAGGCCAAAACCAAACTTGTTGCTGTCAAGTTGCTCTGGACTGATAGCAACTCTAGAGAACAGAGTGCAACTGCCCCACAGGGTTTCCAAGGCTGCCATCTTCACAGGGACAGACTGCCACATCTGTCTCCTGTGGGGTGGCTGGTAGTTTCAAACTTCGGGTCTTTTGGTTAGCAGCCAAGTGCATAACCACTGTGCTGCCAGCCCTCTTTCTTCAGATATGTTGTTGTTGTTTGCCGTCGAGTCAGACCTGACTCATAGCGACCCCTCCTTGGGTTCCTGAGGAGGTATCACTACGGAAGTAGATTGTCCAATCTTCCTTCTTCAGGTATAGGACTTCAAAATACTCTGCTGGCAACGTACCAGGCCTTGCTCTTTAAAACATTTCATCATCACAGGTACTGTGTGTTCATGAAGTGTTGTCACCTGTGGGGAGAAATCTGACCTGGTGCCATGGAGTTCAATGATCCACAGATATTCAGATGAGAAAGAACGTCACTCAAGAGCGAAGAGCCTTTTGAGCCTTGATGTCTTCACAGCCCTAGATGGGATTCCATTGTCTGTCCCATCAGGCTGGGCTTTTTCTCACTGTAGTTAGGTGCCATCCAATCGGTTCTGACTCATATCGCCCCTAAGAACAACAGAACGAAATGCTGCCTGGTCCTGCGCGTCATCACAACCGTTGCTGTTAGAGCCCGTTGTTGCAGTCACTGCGTCAAACCAGTTCGCTGAGGGCTTTCCTCTTTTTCGCTCACCCTCTTCTTTACCAAGAATGCTGTTCCTCTGCAGGCGGTGGTCTCTCCTGAGAACATGACCAAAGTGTGTGAGACGAAGTCCTGCCACCTCCCTTCTGAGGGGCATTCTGGCTGTACTGCTGGCAGTCCATGGTGTGTGCAGTATGCTTCTCCAACAGCATAATTAAAGGCACCAGTTCTTCCTCAGTCTCCCTTTTTTATTGCCCAGCTTTTGCACACATATAAGGTGACTGAAACTATCAAGGCTTGGGTCGGGCACCCCTTAGTCCTTAAAGTGATATCTTTACTCTTTAATGCTTTGAAGAGGTTGCAATGTGCAGTATGCTGGTTGATTTCTTGACTGCTACCTCCCTTGTATTGATGGTGGATCCAAGTAAAATGAGATCCTTGACAAATTCAGTCTTTTCACTGTTTCTCATGATGTTGTTTATTGGTCCATTTGTGAGAATTTTCATTTTCTCTATGTTGAGGTATAACCCATACTGTCGGCTATAGTCTTTGATCTTCATGAGGGAGTACTTCAAGTCTTCTTTGCTTTCAGCATCGAGGTTTGCCATCTGCAGATTGTATGTTGTTAATGAGTCTTCCTCCAATCCTGATGCCTGTTCTTGGTTTAATCCAGCCTCATATTATTTGCTCAATATAAAGATCAGCCAGACTTCGTCTCATCTACTTTGGTCATGTTGTCAGAAGGGACCATTCCCTGGCGAAAGATATCATGCTTGGTAGGGTGGAGGGTCAGTGAAAAAGGAGAAGGCCCTCAATGAGATGGATTGACACAGTGGCTGCAACAATGAATGGGCTCGAGTATAACAAGGATTGGGAGGCTGGTGCACAATTGGGCAATGTTGCGTTCTGCTGTATATATGGTTGCTTTGAGTTGGAGCTGACTAGACAGCACCTAACAACAACAACAGCATAAAGATTGAGTAAGTATGGTGAAAGGATACAACCCTGACACACACCTTTCCTGATCTTAAGCTATGCAGTATCCCCTTTTTCTGTTCAAATGACTGTCTCTTGGTCTATGTACAAATTCCACATGAGTACAACCAAGTGTTCTGGAATTCCCATTCTTCACAATGTTTTCTATAATTTTTTATGATCCACACAGCCAAATGCCTTGGCACAGTCAATGAAACACAGGTAAACATCTTTCTGGTATTCT